CCCCAAAACCCCAAAACCCCAAAACCCCGTGATTCCTAGAATTTTAAGAATAGTTAAAATTTTAAATCAAATTTTAACAAATACAACATTATAATTATCTCTAAAATCGTCAACATAACTCAAAAGCAATTCCATCTTATGCTTATCTTTATCAAAAATCTCTCTTCCTAAAAATCTATCAGATTCCTTGCTAATAATGATCCTATTAAATCTTATATCAATACATTTAGGGATGCAATCAAGCAAAGTGTCAATCTTACAAATCAAATCGAATTATATCACTATTTCTGGGACATGAGTGGCCTTCCATTTAAATAAAACCATGATTCTGTTTTCAATTTATGGAAGATATTCATTAATAGATTTTGAGCCATCCTTTCCTTGTGATTTAACACTCTCATACAACATGAGAAGGACCTTGTTAACTGAGCAAGTCATTTAAGTAATTTGATATTCCTTTTTAGGAAGATCAAAATTAAATGATTCTGGCCTCTTTTGATAAATCGGGGTCTATAACTTTAAGAAAGTCTTATAGAAACTGACAAAATGATCTTTGATAAAGATTTCTGAATAAGATATGTCGTATCCAATAAGTTCATCTTCCTTTGAGCTTTAAGATCTTGTTGCTTTATTCAGCATGAATGTTTAAAGAACATTTGTTTAAGAGGCATGAAGAAACATGAATACCTCATCGTGGCTCCATAAAGCCTATCTCACAACTTAATTCTCATTTTCAAAAACCAGGTTCCAAGTCTCCACCTTGTCAGTCTTAGTATCATAAATTCTCACATTGTTAACCTTGCCTCTAGGTACCTCTGATATAAGCAAGTATCTATCTTGTGGGCTAAATGCTGCATAGGCTGGGTATAAGCTTATAGCAAGAGGAAATCTTACTGGCTTGTCATATGATTCACTCCTATTGAGGTTATACATTTCAATAGCTGGTATAGTGTTTTCAAGAAAAATGCATGCCATAAATTTCCCAGAGTTAGAAAAAGTAACAGATAGATAATCATGTTCCTTTGCAAATAATGGCCTAAACTTCGATTTTGTTTCCCTTCCATGTTTATGTCTGCCTTATTGTTCTTAGAGGTTCCAAACAACTAGGCCACACTTTCCCCAAATTACCAGAATCTCAGGCATAGTAGGACTAAACATTATTCCTCTTGCTTAGTATTGCCTTCTGTTAAATAATCTCTGTTGATTAAGTAACTTTTAAGTGCTTATGTTAATGAAGTGAATACAGTCATTATACCCAACTGCAGCCATCAAAGTCCCACTAAAGTCTAAAGTATAGCACTTGATGGTTGAGTTTTGGTAGACCAGATCAGGGTTTTCAATTTAAGCAAATACAGCTTGGGCATTAGTTGGTTAGCCTCCAGTCATTTTGTTATATGCCCAAGATATCGGATTGCATGCTCTTTGTTTCAAAGCAGATAATTTTTTAGTCACTACACTTTTGCTTCTCAATTTATACCTCTAGACTAATTCATAGTTCTTCATAATTTCTTTTACCTTCAGCTTCTCATTGTTTACTATCTCTCCTATCATAGGATTAAAACTTAAAGGTTCAAGTAGGATGTGGCTTTTTTCATCACCTGTGAGATTTTTCAAATCATGTGAATTGACAAAGTGTTCAATTCTCAGTCCAACTAAATTCTAAGGATAGACATTCCTTTCCAGACTATCGATATCTTGCTGAACATTTTTTCTGTACTATGTTCCTCTGAACTTTTTATTGTTTATCACTGCTATCACTTGCTAGTTGTGGTTATGAACTTTCCTCTAGTAGTAAAAATGCTCTGGGACAACTTTGATAATTTAATCTGCTTCTTGATCCGACATTTAAATTTGTTTTTATATTTTAAATTCAACGCCCCTATCATGCTTAAAGGGGTTTTGGGGTTTTGGGG